TGCAACGGTAGTAAATGTTCCAACAGCCATTTCGCAGTTGAATGGTATGGTGAGCTAGACATATCGAGGACCAGTCTAAGTGTCAAGCTGTTTTTGTGAATCTTTGGTGAGCTGCATAACTTCGATGTCACCGTGCCGACAGGTTTTAGTGCTTCATACAAGTCAGGTGAAATATCGCCTTGTTGTTTCAGCTTTTTTAAAGACTCTGTAAACTGTGTGTCAGTCAGCTCCTGAGTATCTTTGTTAGTTGATCTCTACAATTCACTTATTATTATCATTAGTTAATCGTAATTTCGCATTTGTGTAAAATTCTAGTATGATTTATCCAAACACTGATACGTTTCGATGAGCCACCAACTGTTTTCTAACAATTATCTGGGCACGAATGATTCAAATACATCAATATTGAGAGAAATCTGATTTAGGTATTTGAAAAACAGTGAAGTGGTAACTGTGGTGTCTGATTTCTTGGGATTCATAGTCACCTCGTTAATTGTTGTTGGCGCCAGTTGATTTATGATTTTTTTATACCTAAGGTAACGTTTCGATTAGTATTTTGAAAAGTTACTGAAGAATACAGTAAAGGTGCATGATAAATTATAACTGACTCTTTGAATCAGTATAAGGAATTTTGAAGAACTTGTCATAATCAGAAAACAGACATTTTATATTGCAATGAGAATAATATTCTGGGATTTCAAAGTGAAATCAGACGAAAGTAGAGGTGGCTAATTAAATCATGTGAAATGATAGTCGAACAAACTGAGCGATCATTGATAAGAAAGATATGAATAAAATAATTGACTGCGATGAGGATGAATGCCAAATCCAATTAATGTCATAAGCATGAGATGAAATTTTGATGCAGAAATCGATGAGTTCAGCGCTTACAAAGCTATTAAACAGATAGTGAGTGTCCACTTTGGAACACATAATTTAGGCTTCACTGTTCGGATGTCAAATGTGACATCAATTTCAAGTATTTATGAATACCTTACGCTGTTAACTACATTGCAACATTCTGGAGTGTTGATTTGATGTCCCGTACGACACAGGAACAGAGTAACGACGGTGATAAAATGAGCTAAACTGCTGAATTGTGCACTATTTGAAACGAGTTCAACACTCCTCGTCATAAGTGACAGCTACCACAAGCATTTCGCCTCCTAAAAAAGCTATTCTCACTGTATTATTCAAACAATATCGCGTAAATCAATCAGAAAAGTAGAAATACCTATTCACCAGTAAACAACACTGAATAAGAATGACTGTGATCTGAACACCCAGTCAAGCGTTTTCTCAAATGAATTGAGCCACAGACAAATAAACATCTCAATGTGGTAATTGGTGATCCAACTGTTTTTCTCATAATTAATTTCCGAAATATCTTGCTAAACTCCTCAATTTATCAGATTCAATCAACTACTCAAAGTAGGGTATATTCAGATTTCTATGCCTAACGCATTATATAGTTATGAGGACAGATATAATAACCCGGTGACTCATGGATGAAATAAATTTCTCTGTGAAGTTAATCATGCATTTTGTAGTCTATAGGATACACTGGCAACATGGAGCTTGTTAACTTGTGGTCAGCTAGAGAAATGCCATCCAACAGCCTCATTTTCAACAAATGCAGTGAAAACCCTCTTGTATAATAACAGTTGCCGCATTTCATAAACTAAAATACTTGACACTACACGTGATGAGACAGATTAGTCAACGAATGCTAGCAAACATTCCGTTTTCTATCACCGAGTTCTGTAAAGATTCATATTTGACACAAGTAACGTCAGCGTTTTGAACTGAAGGACTCCAGGAGATTCATGAAGGCGTCATCAAGTGTTGCTGTCACAGACACTACAACTGAACTATTCTGGTTCTCGACTGATCATCTGGAGGACAGTGGTGAACACAATTGTGCAACATTAGGCATTAACACCTTTTATTTCTACCAGACTGCTATTTCACAGTGATGAATCAGCTGGGGGAACTGTAGTTACCGATTTCTTCAAATAAAAATGAGTCATAAGTATAAAAACATTTATTTGACCCATAGTAAAAAATGTAAAATAGATATTTATCCGCACTATTCACTCTGTACCTCCACAGGCTACTTATAAACCAAATCAGTTCCTTCCTGAGAGATACTGTAACTTTCGAAAATTTCATGAAACTCGTTCCCTTCATAAGTTTCAATAAAGAAGGAAAGACTAGATTCGCAGTATATTATGATATCATTATATATCACACGTTCGCATCACCAGCAAACTACCTGAAATCGCAATGGTTATAAATAATGACAATAACATACTTCAGTGTTTGAATAGTAGTAAAGAAAACTTTATCGAATCAATGCATCCACAATATAGGCATTACAATTTTGGTTCAAGTTACCGTTATATTATATGCTTTCAAAATAGGAAAGGAGGAGGAAGAGGAGAAGATAGAAAACAGAAAAATCCAATAAACAGTGTTGGCATGTAGGTTTGCGTAGCAACTGAGGAAGATTACAGTTCATAAAATCGAAAACTTGCTGAGTGAGTTGAAGTCGCTAATATGGATGACTGATCACTGAAATCAAAATGTAGTTATCAAGGGAGTGGGAGATTGATCACACTCTCTTCCTTTATGCATAATTTTGATTTGAAACGTTTGATTGCAATCGCTTCAGGAAATCGTAGAAAATTTGCTGTCCTTTTTATGCCTGATATTTTGAAAGATTTAGAAACCTCGACGAAATGACCCATATTCACAAAGTGTCCGATAATTGTACTTTGCGAATATCTGCTTCCTTTTTTGACATAAGTTTCTTGGGATGTGCTCTTAAAACCAGATAGAAGCCCTTCTTTCTGTCCTTCCGACATACTTGCCCTCTCAAGTGCACGTAGATTTATAAAAGCAGTTGAAGGTGATATCAGGAGGGTACTTATGCAGCTTGCATTGGCTTATAGAGCGTGTCGTGCTGTATAACATTAGGAGACTAGCTGCAGGGAGACATCGTTTTATTGCTCCTTTCATCCTTTTGTCAATCTTTTCTGATACTGCTTCTCCTTTGAATGAGAGACAAATGAACACTTTCTTCTTTCCAACAGTTTGATGCTTCGCTTTCCCGTCCTTTTGTTTGCTGTACTTTTGATAAATCCCTTTGGATGCCCATTTTCCTGTAGGCAATTTTAAACAAGGCCTAACTCTTCTTCTTCTTCTCTGGGGAATATAACTTCCTTACTCTGTCGTACAGTGTTCTTACTAATCCACGCTTATAGCCTATAGGACAGAAGCTGTTGTAGTGAAGATATTGTCTGGTCCAGGTTTCTTTTATGTAAATGGATTTCAGACCATACCATTTTTTCATCTTCTTGAATTAAGGTCTAGGAAATTGAACTCATCGTCGTGTTCATATTCCACGGTGAATTTAATGTTTGGGTGGATCTCATTAAGACGACAAACAAACAACAAACGTAATTTCAGGTAGTTTGCAGCTGATGCGAACCTGTGAAATACAATGATATCACTTTATACTACGAATCTGGTCTTTCTTTCTTTATTAAAAAACTCTTCTAGCTGATGCTTAATTTTCAGCTGACAAACAGCATCTGATATAACCATTTCAAAATCAAATTTTTCTTCACTATATATTGATTGGACCGAATTTGCCGGCCTCTTTTGACCTGTTTGTCCTTGTGAGGATACATCGACGATTTTCGAGATATAACATGAAGGATTTTGGTGAATGGTGACTAGCAGTGGTGTCCAGGATGCACACTGCGTCCTATACGGTGCTCGTCACATGGATGAATCTGCATCCATTCAGTGAGTGATGGTGTTTCAACTGAGCCCCTAACTCAGTATCTGTCGTTTCAAATTCAAACAGCTGATCTAATTTGTTGCAGATTGATAAGCGTATTCAAATTCCCAGTGCGAATAAAGTTAGATTAGTGTTATAATTATGATAACATAGTTAGTAATTAGAAGAAACTGGATTTGTGTCCCTTGCAAATATATTCTCCTGTTGAACAAATAAATGTCAAACGTCAGAGTAAAATAATAGTCTAGTTATGGTATCACAATTATTTTTTCACCATCACCCACATATGGCTTGACAGAAAGTTGAAGTAGTAAATTTAAGTCATTGGTTAAAATTAGTGTTAATTAGCCGTCGAGATGACAACACTACGCGCATTTTCTCTTGTTATCGACCCTTCCCTGAACGGAGATGAAAAAACACGTGTTAGGAAATAGAAGATTGTTCGCCTAACTCAAATTTTACTTGGGAAGTTGTTTACTAAATGGATCAGTCTATTTCATTGAATTTCGTGCCTCCCTCATCAATACTCTGTTTCAATAAACTGACAGATACCACTGACATCTCATTCTGCCGTCATTTCACATTGAAGTATATTCTAATTATTAGTTTTTTGAGCCTGTCATCTATTTTTGAAGTAAGAATTGAAAACATTTATTTCCCAATACGAATTTAAAACAAGTAACAAAGGTTAATAAAGCAGGACTTAATGAATTCATCAAATTTCGGTAGAACTCGTCAGCTGAATACTCTGCATACTGGGATATATATACTATTGAAATTACATTGGGAGATATAAGACTGATAAGCATTATCTTAACTCACTTCAGCATTATTATTATTGTAACTATTACTATTGATATTATTCTGTTTGCAATTCTTGATATATTCTCTAATGACTAATTGTTTATCTAGGTGATGTAATTGAAGCGTAATGCATTTTATCTTAATTTTAATCTCTCATACTCCCTCTCCCCTTACCTATTTGAACATGACCTGGAAAAGACATTCGATGAATTCATTAAATCCTGTTTTATTAACCTTTGTTGCTTGTTTTATATTTTTAAAGTAGTTTAATCATATTTAAAACATATTATGAAGATATCAGAATCATAAATGTTGTCCATTTCAGAAGAATTTACATGTTATATCATCTCCTCAATGAACATCAATATCTTTGTTAATAATGTCATAGATTGCAGCCACATTATATCCAACGTCATCATGGATGCCAATATGGAATCACAGGGCACCAGAAAGCCTAGTATCAGCAGCTAATTCATTCGCCTGCCATATGGTGGCTAATTTCTCCGTTATCGTTTTAATCGTTATATTGGTCAATATACGTCACAGAGTTGGACTCATCAGTAATAAAACAGTGATCAACCGCCTATCGTTCACAGTAGCAGCGCCAGCAGGAAATGCAGTGATAAGAAGAGAGTATGAACAACAAAATTATCAGCTACAGACACTAACATATCAGAGTTTTACTCCGTAGAATGATGAGGATGAGGAGTTGAATTGGTTGAATTATCATCGCGACAAAGACGCTTGTTAATGTCCATGAAATAAAACATAAACAATTATAAAATAAAAGTATGCATGAATATGAAAGAAGTCGACTTATTTTGAAATGAAAATAAATATGTATAAATATTTACCGACAGCTAGAGCATTAAACTGATCACTCTGAACCGCCTATTCTCCATTGTCAAATTTCTTGGGATACAAATGGGCAGAGATTTATATATGTCCAAGCCAAGTTCACTTTTAATAGTTTGAAAAAATTTGGTCATTGGGTATATATGTGCGTTGGTAGCACAGCGGTAAGGACAATCGCCGACCATGCACATGGTCCGGAGCTCGATCCCCTGCCGATGCACACCTGATATCAGTGGTCGGCCTGCTAAATTTGGGCTACCAACATCACATGCTGAAAATTCATAGTTGTACCAAAATTACGGTGTGGAATCAAGCTATAATCAAAAAAATTATGGACAGAGATTTATCTGCCGTTTTGTACAGTGTTTTACGCACTCAAGCTTGAGAGTTTGGAAGTAGCAACGAAATGAAATAATCTGGATCATTTGGGATTCAAAGCAACTGTCACTGAAATCTTATCTTTATTTCTGACTCAAGTTATAGCCTAAGAGTAGAAAAATAGTACTAAGAAATCGAGGAGTATATGTGCATTTCGAAAGTTTTCACTAGGTAGATTTAGCTTTCAACAAATTATCTCTAAACCATTTAGTGACAGTTAATTGCATTATATGAAAATAGGCATCTAAATAATCAAATCTCAGACTATGTTAATTCGTAATTTCAAAATATTATGAACTACTACTGCTGTCTGTCCGTCAGCCTATCGAACTCCCTTACCAATCATCCTACCAATAACTTTCCACCTGAATACTTGCAATGTATATTTAGCTGCCTTCGCAGTACAAATATGATTGTGAATCATATCAGTTTGAAACATAATATTTACTGTGGATCCATATTAGTTTGTTTATTTGATATATCACACAGTGAAACAGTATTATTTACTGGATGACGTTTCGAACAAAATTTATTGTTCATAATCATATCAATTATAATCACACGACTTTGACACTTGAGTTGACACTCGACACTCAAGTGTCAAAGTCGTGTGATTATAATTGATATGATTATGAACAATAAATTTTGTTCGAAACGTCATCCAGTAAATAATACTGTTTCACTGTGTGATATATCAAATAAACACACTAATATGGAATTACTTACTACCACAGTGCCCAAGTTTTACACATATATTAATACTGTGGATCCAGTTTTAAGACCATAGTTAGTCTTGAAAAAGCTTTCACCCCACCCTGTAAACAAACCTGCTACAGAAACTTCAGCGTGAACAGTCTCCTTGCGTCAAAAGAAAAAGTTTGTGTGGGGACATGGAATGTCCGCACCATGTACGAGACTAGCAAAGCTGCCCAGATCGCAAGCGAAATGAGGAGATACGGACTACAAGTATTGGGGATCTGCGAAAGCAGATGGAACGGATACGGACTCACCAAATTGTCAACAGGTGAGTCAGTGATTTACTCCGGTCACCCAGAAGACAACCACACACACACCGAGGGCGTGGCTATAATGATGTCACCAACGGCAACCAAGGCTCTGATACAATGGGAGGCGATCTCACCCAGGATAATAACCGCCAGATTCAACTCCAAAGGAAGGAAAGTGTCAATTATACAATGCTATGCACCGACCAACAACGCAGACCTCGAAAAGAAAGAAGAATTCTACAGACAACTGCAGGCAGCAATAGACAATACTCCAGCCGGTGACATCAAAATACTAATGGGAGACATGAACGCCAAACTGGGATCAGACAACACAGGAAGGGAACTCATCATGGGTAAAGAAGCTCTGGGAGAGATGAATGAAAATGGAGAACTCTTCGCCGACTTCTGCGCCTTCAATGAACTAGTGATTGGTGGCAGCGTATACAAACACAAGGATATTCACAAGGCTACATGGGTGTCACCAGATGGGCGAACCAAAAACCAAATTGACTTCATCACAATCTCGAGGAAGTGGCGGCGCAGCCTACTGGACACAAAAGCAAGAAGAGGAGCAGACGTTGGCTCAGACCACTACCTCGTACAAGGAACAATCCAACTCAAATTAAAGGCTTTCAGAGAAACAGGAGCTGCAGATAGACCACAAGCCAAGTTCAACACTCAAAAACTAAAGGACCAGGATACAAAGGATATCTTTACTGCAAGTATAAAGGACAAAGCTGAGACACAAATCAACATTAGTGAAGAGGTTAGCGTCGAAAAACACTGGAACAACCTGAAAACAGTATGGAGCGAAACCTGCATGGAAGTTCTGGGCAGAAAGAAGAGACAGGACAAACCGTGGCTCACTACGGACACTTGGAGGCTAATAGAGGAGAGAAGGATGGTGAAACAAAAAATTCTGCAGTGCACCGACGAGCAACAGAAACAGGAGTTGAATGTAAGCTACAATACACTGAACAAAGGAGTAAAGAAGAGTGCCAGAGAAGACAAAAGAAAGTATTATGAAGCCATGGCCAATGAAGCAGAACAAGCTGCAGGCAAAGGAGACCTCGCAACACTTCACCAAACAACTAGGTACCTTTCAGGCAAAAATTCGTCACAAATTAAGCCAGTGAAGGATGAAAATGGAAAGTCAATCACCAAAGAAGTGGAGCAAAGGAAACACTGGGCTGAACACTTCAAAAGACTACTAAACCGACCGCCACCTACAACGCGCCCAACACTAGCAACAACGGAAGCAGAATTACCAGTGAACATCAACCCCCCGACGAAATCAGAAGTCCTGAAGGCAATCAAGATGCTGAAAGCTGGGAAAGCAGCAGGACCAGATGGAATCCCAGCAGAAGCATTGAAAGTCGACCCAGAGACAACAGCAGACTTGATGACGCCACTACTAGAGAAGGTGTGGAAAGAAGGCAAAGTACCCGAGGATTGGAAGAAAGGATACCTATTCAAACTACCAAAGAAAGGAGACTTAAGTCAATGCAAGAACTGGCGCGGAATTATGCTCCTTTCCACCCCAAGCAAAATACTAAGCCGCATCATCCTGGAAACGATCAAACAAGCCTTGGATGAAAAACTTCGACCAGAACAAGCTGGATTCAGGAGTAACAAGTCATGTATTGATCAAATCGCCACACTACGGATCATCATTGAACAAAGTTTGGAATGGCAGTCACCTCTCTATCTCAACTTCATCGACTTTGAAAAGGCCTTCGACAGCGTCGACCGAGAGGTGATTTGGCAACTACTTCGCTACTACGGGGTGCCGCCGACAATTATACATCTCATCCAACAGTTGTATGACAACGCTGCATGCCAAGTAATCCACAACGGAAAGCTCACGGAATCCTTCGAAGTGAAGACAGGAGTAAGACAGGGTTGCCTACTATCGCCAATGATTTTCCTGATTGCAGTAGACTGGATAATGCGACAAACAGCGGGCAATGAGGAAACAGGCATAAAATGGACTCACACAAAGAACTTGGAGGATCTGGACTTCGCTGATGATATATGCCTGATTTCCCACAAACTGGAAGATATGCAAGTGAAAAGTAACAAGTTGGCAGAAGAAGCATCAAAGATAGGACTCCAGGTGAACATAGAGAAAACAGAGGTGATGAAGATCCCTGGCCAACACCAACAACAACAACAGACAGCAATCAGCATAAATGGAAAAAACCTGAAAGAAACTACCTCCTTTACCTACTTGGGAATCATTGTTTCAACTACAGGCGGAACTGACGAGGATATCAAAGCAAGGATCGGGAAAGCAAGGCAAGCTTTCATTACTCTCAAGTCTGTGTGGAGGTCAACAGGATTCAGCGTCAAAAATAAGATCGGGATTTTCAACTCCAATGTGAAGTCAGTACTACTATACGGATCAGAGACTTGGCGTGTCACAAAGAGCACCTCAAACAAGCTACAGACCTTCATTAACAGATGTCTTCGCTCAATACTCAAGATCAGATGGCCAGAAAAGATCAGCAACAGAGATCTCTGGGAGCGAACCAACAAGGAACCGATTGTGAAACAAATAGGCAGGAAGAAATGGAGATGGATTGGCCACACCTTGAGGAAACCAGCAAGTGACATCACTAGACAAGCCCTTGAGTGGAACCCGAAAGGGAAGCGACGAGTTGGTCGTCCAAGGGTGACCTGGAGGAGATCATGTGAAGAGGAGATGAAAGCATGTGGGCAGACCTGGAGCCAGGTGAAAACTCTAGCAGAGAATCGAACGCAATGGAGACGCATGGCTGAAGCCCTATGTTCCTCTAGGAACTAAAGGAAATAATAATAATAATAATAGAATTGATACAAAAGATGTAATATTTCAAAGGATTTTCAAGTAGAATATTTTTCAGTTAGATTATTCGTCGACTTCAGTTTGCAACAAGAGCGTGTCGACCAATAAGTCACTGGAATGAAATCCAAAGGTCAGCCCATGCATTTAACTTCTGCCTATTAACGATATATAGTGCCGCCACCACCCGCTGTCATCGATGAATATTTGTCCTCACACTTCATTTGGTGGCTCTCTTTGGTCACATCTCAACTCGTGATGTAACATGGAACCAATCAAATAACAACAAAGCGAAACCTGAGAATATTTGGTACAACTGTAATTACATTATCATTACCTGTGTTTTAGAATACTTTGGAAATATTCAAAGGTACATACACACATGAAAATGTTAAATAGATCTGAAAGTTGTGATAAAAATGCACCATGAAATGTTGTTTATCAAAATGAAGAAGGAAGAATTTAGTGTAATCTTTTATTGATAAGGTAGGGAGGGATAACTAAAGGCAGTACTACAGGCTTCCTTATCAGAATGAATAAACAAATACGTCAATTTTCAGTAGTATTCATGTAAACTCTATATTATAGCATTAATATTTGAACATCCAATCATAACCCAATATGAGGAAGTACAGTATATAGACACAAAATTCGTGTAATTCACTTTTAGGG